TAATAATAACATATTTGCCAAACTCTTCTGTGCATATTTGCAGTTGCGCTCTGGAGCGCATCAGATGTTTCTGTTTACAACATTTGCAGCATTGAGCAGTGTAGCTAATCACAGACACGTCTGTTGAACTGATGAACTGAGATGAGTGACAGGCTCAGTGCATTTGAAATTATAAAGGGAGCACTCTTTGCACGCATACTAGACTATCTGTTTTGCATTCAGAATTTTAATAAAAGTTTTTTTTTCTAAGAGGAACAATGTCCCCTCACTAAAGTTCAGCTATAGTTTAGTTATTCTATATAAATGCTAAAATGAATCTCAGACGTGAACATATTTGCTTTGCTTAATCCAAATTAATTCTAAATTTTTTTTATTTCTTTTTATAATTAATTTGTACAACAGAAGATTAAGCAAAGCAAATATGGTCACGTCTGAGATTCATTTTTGCATTTACCTTTATATCTATCTCTTATATATATAATTATGACAATATTTTTGGTGAGTTTATAATGTAATACATTTCTCATAATGTAATAATTGTTATTACATTATGAGCTCAAGATTTTATTTTTTTACTTTTTACATTTTGAGAAAATTATTACATTATGTGCAGTTATTACATTATGAGTTGTTACAAGCCTATTGTGTTGGCTGCACTGCCAGCAGATCAAACTGACATATGACTGGAGCTATATCTAGTAAGGTCTTTGAAGACATTGATACAACAGCAGCTTGGCATAAGACAGACCAATTATTTTTTTGTTTGTTTTACTGATGCACACAGGGGTGTTGTGCTTTCCAAACAGAGACTGGTGCACTGGGTGACGCAGGTAATTTCTCATGCATATTGCTGGGCAGCCTTCATCGATTCAGTCACTCTACTTGTGTTTTTGGCAACATGGGCAGGATTCAAGGGAGTGTCGCTCTGTGAGATTTGTGCTGCAGCAACTTGGAGTTCAGCTTGCACGTTTTCTTGTTTATACAGATTGAATGTGACTCCCTTGCCAATGATGTGTGCAGTGATCTCCGCATGTGTAGGCATTTGTCTTCCACTAGTGCTTTTAGTACTGCCTCTGGCCTTCCACTTGGTCATAGAACCACAGTTCTGTTTGTAACTAACCTTTTAGTTGGCTGTATGAACTACTACAAAACATGAGAATTTTGGCCATTTTCATCTTAAAACACCTTTAAACTCTATAATAATATATGATATTATATATTTTTATATATATATTATATTGGGAAGTCGTGGCCCAATGGTTAGAGAGTCGGACTCGTAACCCAAGGTTGTGGGTTCGAGTCTCGTACCGGCAGGGATTGTAGGTGGGAGGAGTACAGCGCTCTCTTCCACATTCAATACCACGACTGTGGTGCCCTTGAGCAACGCACCGAACCCCCAACTGCTCCCCGGGCGCCGCAGCAAAAAATGGCTGCCTACTGCTCTGGGTGTGTGTGTGTTCACTATATATATATTGTCGTGGGATGAATGAGAACACAGACTCGGTACTGATCGAAAGAGCCCCGGAGGGTGATTTATTAGCCCACACACTGATCACACGTGCTCTGATGAATGGTGCTCGGTGCCCGTCTCAGCGTGGTGCTCGTGGGGTGAAGTGCCGTGGTGCAGATCCCTCTCCCAGGGTGCCTTCGGAGTCTGTGAACAAGGAGAAACAAGCATTAATGTCGCCTGGAGCTCCGGGGTGCCTTCCCGCTGGTGTCTCTTCTCCTGGCTTTTATGGCAGCACGTTTACATGCACACCAGTAAGCTGATAACTCACAAATATCAGCTTATTAAAATAACCAGTTTTCCCCGTTTACATGCACATCAGTAACCTGACAACGCAAGTAAGCTGCGTTTACATGACTTCATTAATAAATCAGGTTATTTCCCTGTAGTGACGTCAAAATATAATCATTTGTGTATCTGACTCCGAGTATTCCATACATTTGTCAGTTGTGATGTTAAATTAAGCTTGCAACATGTCGGGAAACTTACAGCTCATATATTATCCTCTCATGCAGTTATAAACGCAGCATTGTGACTGAACCACTTCTACTTCTGCTGCACGAGATGAGAACACATTTTTATCATTTTCTGAGTCCTGAAAAAGTCTGCTTTTGTGATATATTTCCTTCTTTCTTTACTGCAAGACATTTGCTCGGTCTAGATGCGCTTAAATCTGCACTAACGATGCGTTCCTGTCACGTATCATACATGCGCACTTCAATAAGCCGAAAGAAAGCGGGTTATTGCGTTTACATGCCATGCGAAATCGGAGTAAGAGGCAAAAAACTACCTGTTGCGACCAGTTTATGCTCACGTTGTTTTTGACCTTACTCCGATAAAAGAAAACGGGTTACTGCGTTTATATGACCAAGTGCGTTTTCGGCTTATTAAACATAATCGGCTGAAGAAGTTAATGTAAATGCGCTCATTGAGATCTCGCAAAGGAACGAAACTGACTACAATTGAGATCTCCTAAAGTATTTTACGAGTATATGCTTATTCTGTACAATATATACTTTTTTGTGTCAACTACATTTTTTTGTCAAATTGTCCTTCAACCTTGTACTGGCGCTTTAAGCTCGAGCTGCTGAGCAGCACAGCAAAAAATAGACTCGACGCCAAAACCGCTGCCGAGCTGCTGCAGCGTCCGGTGTAAAAGCACTCATTCGTTAACATGCATACCGGGAAAAAAATGCGCACTGCTGCAGCGTGCGGTGTATCAGCCGTCTTTCGTTAACATTCACGCCGATGTGCGGTGCGAAACAGGTTTTACAATACACACACGCTGCCGTCATATCCGTCTCGGAGCGGCTCACAGTAAATGCTGCTGCTCCACGCGAGTTTAGACCATTACACCAATATCGTGGCATTAAAATGTAATGTTGTACAACACTGAAACGCTGTATTATTATTTTTTTCGTTTACAACCGACGAACTTAAAATAGGCTGAAAGTAGCAAGCTAACGTTAATTGTGGGGCTGCTGCTCGGTATAATAGTTTTCAACATTATGTAAATTGGTAAACTATTTAGCTTAGGCTACTAAAACGAACACAAAATACGAAGCCATTTTCATCAACCCTATCAAATACAAATTACAAAATACTATTTTGTATTTGAAATACGTATTTGAAATACATGTATCATAAATACTGCCCATCCCTGTATACACATATATACATATATATAATTCTATAAGAGGATAATGTTGAAATCTTGCATACTGGCTTTGTGTTATACGAAGAAAAAAAAATTAAAATGTCAAATATAATCAAGACCTAAATAAATCAAACATCAGAAAGAAAAAAAAAATGTATTGTGAAGGAGTATAGTACAGACACTAAATGATCATGAGTGTTTACTGCATGGACAAGTCTTTAAAAGATGGGCATCAATGCAGCACCTGTTTAAGAAAGTTTGTTGCAGTTGAAATACTTTGTACAGTCTCACAGAGTTTGGTGACTTCAGAATCATAATACATAGTATATAATTCAACCGTATCAAATATCAAATGATTCCACTTCTGCCGAATAGATGATCTTCTAATTATGCTATGATAAATGCAATAATTTATCAGTCATACATAAATACGTCAAGAAGCGTGATCCACGGCCACAGTTTCATTGGTAAATCACACAGTCACTTTGTTAAGAAAGGTTATGACTAAAAAAAATAAAAATAAATAAATAAATAAATTCATGGATGGTTTTGACTGTGACACAAGACATCAGTAATGTTAATGAAAGCCCATACTAACTTTTGACTACAAGTCACAAGCTTTTTGATGTCAAACATGTCAGAAACAAATCTGATGACACGCAGACATATAACCACAAATCAAATCCACTATAAATATTATTTAATTAAATAAAAACAAGAAAAGGACAAAAAATGTATGAAACGATATCTGTACTTAAATTAAATGAAAGAATAGAAAGTGCCTTAAGTCAATCATTAGTTTCAACTACGTTTTATTTTAAAAGAGGGAAAAAGTTTTTTTTTTTTTTTTGGAAAGGTGCTTGATACTATTTTAGGGTTAAAGATCAGAGATGTCTTTATTTAATGTATATATTTAGCAAAAGCGTAGTTGTCACCTTATTAAAGATTTTATTGAAAAAATATCTCTGATTAAATACAAATGCTTGACATTATTTTAACTACTTTAAAGAACATGTAGCTTTTACCAAACTGTTGCAAAGTACAGTTTCAACATGGAAATTTATTGTTAAAAAAAAGTGTTGGGGATGCCAAGGCTTTTCCAGGTTTTCAATGATTTTGGGAATGCTGCTGTAAATCTGTGATTTTGTCAACAAGTGCTTGATACTATTTAAGGGTTAAAGTTTTGGGTTCTAAACTTATACTGGAGGCATATGCGCTATTGCCTCTTTTTCATTTTAAATTCCCATACTCTCCTATCATTCAAATACATTTCTCATCAGAATATTTTTAGATAATGGACTTTAATGATAATCACATTATGAATTATGGGTAAGTGCATCAACTGGATGTCAACAAATCTTTTTAATGTGGGAGCCTACACTGACCTTTATATCTAAAGTGACCCAGAAGCTTCCAGTAGAGGGAGTCCTGTTGAAGCTCTGGCAATGTTCTAAGCTCTAAACATCTCCAGTTGCACTTACTGAAGCGGTTTTTGTTTTGTTTTTTTTTTGGTAAATGTCAAATAAATAATACAATGGATCAATTGTACTCCACTTAAATTAAATAATACATATATACTTCTAATAAAAGCAACAGGATTTAAAGAACAATTAGATGGCATGAGCAAGATGAGGTCATTTGTATATTTAAAAAACAACCACTGAACTATGAGATTTCATGACAAAGGTCTCCGATTTCTTATGTGAACAAAATTATTGCTCTTGATTACGTTCTGGAAAAACATGAAAAATGGGTTGTGGGGATTCGTCAAAGAAATAAAGTCATAGGTTTGGAATAACATTAAGTTGAAAAGACAATTTTTTTATTTTTGACTGAACAATATTTAATACCCCTGCAACCAGGAATTTTGGCAACTATTTGTGAAATATTTAGCAACAGTGCAAATGCTTACAATAAAAAGCCCATATCTGACAGGCTTTTTAGATCTTGGCATCAAATCAAATAAAAATATAACTGATGGACACATCCAAAATCCAATGCATAACCAACAAAAATTACCTGCATTACACAAAGAAAATCAGCACAAAATAATAAAATACCCCAAATATTCTCAAGAACATCATGATGAAATACAGACCCTGTATACACAATTGATGTTAGAAACCATATTCAGAACCACACAAATCATACCAAAAAAAAAAAACCAACCAAAAAAAAAAACCTTGCATACTGGAAATTTAAACACATGTGGTTCCACAAGGCCAATGATATGGTTAAACGACAAATGTTTCAAGACTGCTATGGTATTAACTCAACATTAATACAAAACATTGTATCTGTGCTACATATTGTTATCCATTTGTGTATTTCAGATTAGAGTTGAACTCTAACCTGTGAGTAAAATGTGAGTAAACCCTCATGAATGATGACATCAAACAAAAAACTGAAACATTCCTATTATAAATCAAAATAGGAATATGTCTACAGTGCTGCAAGCATATTATGCCGACAAATGGAACGTTTTAGTTTTTTGCATCTCATATTTGTTTGCAGTGCAGACACAATGTTACTGTTTACCTGCTGACAGTTAAGAGTATGAAATAAAACAAATGAAAAACAATAAAAAAGCCTCTTGGTTAGTAGTATACTATGAGCCAAAAAGAAACTATGGTGAGAATTGAAGAATCCAATGATGTTGGATTAAATGTGTTATCTGAGTGGTCAGAATGGATTTTTTTTTCAGTATGGTTAGTTTATGGACTTAAACTTACCCACACCCATCCAATCAGAGTCCCATAGAGCCAGGTATTGAAATAGAGTTTTCTACCTGACTCTGTTAACAGCATTGGTAAAGTGAGGCCACCCAAAATCAACAGAGAAGGCAATGTCTTTGTAAGATTAAGAGGCGACTTTTGGCTTTCTCCAGGGAACCTGCACTTTTTCTCAGGGTCTTCAGAATCATAGAAAGTGGTCAGTAGCCTAAACAGAAAGAATAACACATTTTGAAAGTGCAACTAAATCACCATTTTAAAATAATCCAGCATTTCCAGTTCACAAAATACTTTAAATCAACAGCACCACTATTTTTATGCCACGTTGTAATTTGCAGACATTTTTTTCAGTTCAGCAAACTGGAAATAACCCAACACTCTCCTTAAATGTTTGTGTGGCTTGACTCTAGTTCAACCACTTTAAAGTATATGTAGCTTTTAGACGTAACTGTTGCACATAGTATCAAAACACTTTTTCTGACCAATTAACTCCTATGACCTTTCCAAGTTTTCCATGATCATGGAATCCCTGCTGTGATCAGTGATTTTGCAAACATACCATAACCAAAATAAGTGTATGTAAGGTAACACTTTTTGGATACACTTTATTTTAAGGTGCTACAGTGTAATTATACATTTAAGTACACAGTAATATTAATTAACTACATGTACTTACTACATGGTTAGCATTAAGATTAGTGTTTGGCTTAGGGTTACTTGCATGTAATTATTCATAATTTATTGTTATTATAATAATAAGTACATGTAACGTGTAACAAGGACACGGTAAAATAAAGTGTTACCCACTTTTTTTTTTTACAGTGCCCTTGTTACAGTGCCCAGTACTACATGTACTACTATATAGTAACAACAATACATTATGCATAATTACATACAATTAAGCCTTACATGCAACAACTCTAAACCAAACCCTCATCCTAACCATACAGTAAGTACAGGTAGTTAATTAATATTACTAAGTACTTAAATGTATAATTACACTGTATCAAGGGCACCATAATACAAAGTGTAATCGTATGTAGTTATGTATACGTAGTTAAGCATATGTAGTTAGGCATAAATAAGAATGATGGACTAGGGGCTATTTCGGAAACCCACTTGTCCTTGATTTCAAATCTTTCATGTAGCCATCTGCGGAAGAACACTGGCTCCACAGGAATTTCCCTCATGTCCAAGCGGTTGAAGTGGATGTGCACCCTGGGGCATTCCTTGCACAGGAACTCTATCACACAGAGAATTTAAATTAGATAAAGGCATTTCAGACAACCATCAGACAGAAAACAAACAAACAGAAAATTAAACAATTAAAAACTGTTTATGAAAGTGAAATAAAATAAAAAATGATTATTTAATAATTACATAAATGATTTCACTTTAAACAGTAAATTTACAATACATCTGTCTTAATTTGTTCACTTGCAAAGTTTAATTTTTGGCAGAAAACTGCTGGGAGTTTTTCCAGCAAAGACGTGTTTCATTACAAATGTAGTGACATGCTGTCTGTTTACAAAATGTTAGAAATTATGAGAATGTGAAAAGTCTGGCACACATTGTGTTCCCAAATGCACATATAACTCACGGTGCATGCACAGATAGAATTTACATTTACATTTAGCAGACTATTTTATCCAAAGCGACTTACAAATGAGGACACCAGAAGCAATCAAAACCTACAAAAGAGCAATAATATGTAAGTGCTGTGACAAGTCTTGGTTAGCCTAACACAGTAGACGTAGCAAGGTTTTTTTTTTTTTTTTTAAATAATAAATAAAAAGAAAACAAGTAGATAGAATAGAAAAAGAATACAGAAAATTAGTGTTAGAGGGTCTCTCTCTTTAATTTTTTTAAAGAAAGAAAAATTAGTGTTATAAGATCATTTTTTACATAAAAAGCAAGCAAGTATTGTAAAGAGTGCAAGTGTTAAAGGATCAAGTTTTTTTTGCCTACATTTGTGAATCGAGTCACTCTAAGACAGTGAATCACTTATTCATGAGCTGCTCAAATTTAAATGAACACTGACCATAATTGTTTAATTAAACCACAGCCTTTTGTGATTTGAGAAGCGCATTACGTCATCGCAATTTAGTTCAACTGAAAGATGATTTGACAACGCAATGGTGCAAAAACACACTGTTAGATATTTTGTGTTTAATAATAATCAAGAAACAAGGAAAACACCCCCCCCCCAGAAAAAAAGAAAGAAAAAAAAAGAAAAGAAAGAAAGACTGGACTTGTAGACTTTTTTTTCCCCCACTGAGTTGTTCAGAATCTTGTAGGCTACTCTGTAAACTGTAAAAAGTTATTTTCTATATTTAAGAAATTTCTGCTTTTACCACATGCATCGTTGAATGTAACAGTGTTAATTCATAAATTATTTACATTAATACTCCTTTTTTAAAAAGGATTATGAACATTATATACGTTTTTACTAATATCCGCTTTCTAAGTAATGACGTAATGAATACTCTTTCCGGTTTCAAGTCTCTACTAGGTTTCAAGAGCAATTTATGATCACCATCCATATATCATACCTTTAAGCTAAGCTTTCAAAATGTTTGGTGAACACTACAGTCTCCAAGCTCACTGTGTCACAGACACCAATATTTTAACGATTCATAAAAGATTAATCTCTCTCTGGCCAACTCAGATTTCAGTATGGAGATAAAGGTCAGGATCATGATTTTTTAGTGAAATTAACGTTCTTAGAATTGACAGACAGTTGACCCTGAGAGGTCAAGTAAATATCTACAGCGGATCTAAATATTTATAATTAATTATAACTAGTTATGATTAATTATTCATATTTCTCCATGAATGAGCTGATTCGCTACATGTATAAGATCAGTTTGCTGTTTGCTTGTGGGATCTGACAGAGCACTTGGACCCAGAAATGGTGACGCATGACTGAAACTTTGATATTGTGACAGCCTGTTGCTTAATAGTTTTGTTTTGTTTTTTTATAAAGAAGGATGTAACAATATCCTAACAGCTACCCAAATGTTGAAACGTATGATGTTTATTCCTGTGAAAAACAGGATGTTTTCTGCATGAAACCTCTTATTGCTTTAGTGTTTTTGGGAACCAATGGAAAATAACACATTGTGACACTCACTGTTTACAGGAAGTAACAGGAAATTCACATATCTATTTTTTTCCAGCCGTCAATCAATGATTTAACACTACGTCCGCCTTCTTTCCTGTGCTAGTTTCAGTTGATGAAAGTAAACATGCTGTTTGCAAACTGAACGTATGATAACAACATACCTGGCATTGTAGGAGCTGGATGTCTCTGGCCGGCTGCTGTGAGTTTTCCCTCATATGCAACGGTTATGTCATATACAGCATCCAGGTGTTCCTTCATAGTCTCAATGGCAACATGTGATGCTTTCATTCTTGGTGTTAAAACGTGCTTCAGCACAGCAAGTCCTGCAATAGGCAAGACAACATGACTATTGCAAGTAAATTAGTTTGAGAAACTGCAATTTAGTACATTGGGAAAACATTCAGAAATGTTAGACATCTATCAGTGACAGAAAAAGATTTAAATATTATAAAATTAAATATATATTTACGATGCCATGGGGAAACATGGTGCTAATAGTCTCTGCTTACTTTAGGCATAAATGGATTCACCCAAAAATGAAAATTGTCATTTATTTACAGTCTTGAACATATTTGTTTGAATATTTACATTTCTCATTTTCATTCATGGAGATAACATTAAAAATTTGCCACTGTCAGTGTTTGTCACTTCTCAAACTTAGCAGTATACGTGGGCATTGGTTTATGACAAAACTTTTCTTCAAATTGTGAATGGATTACATACAGAAAGCAAGCAAAGAATGGTCCCTTTACAGCAGGGCTGAAACAATTAGTCAACTTTAATTGACATCATTGAAATTTTTTATTTTTGTTGTCGAATAGTCATTTGATCTCTTATGACCTAATGCAAGGTCCTGCAATAATGTGGTTTGACTAGTGTGAAGCTATAGCACAGTTTATATGAAAATGTATAGAATTTGTAACTCAATATTTTAACAAATTGCAAAAGCTGAATAATCAAAGCCTACTGATTAATAAGTGAAATCAACAATTAGTTGATTAATATTTCTAATAATTGAAAGATTAATCAATTATCAAAATAATCATTTGTTGAAGCCCTACTTTACAGCATGACTGACTGAGCTCATTTGCACAAAAACTGTTTTTTGAACAGAAACACCAAATTGAATTTAACAAGTGATGAAAATGAGGCTTTGAGGGATAGACTTAGTCTTTACAATGGCACGCACTATATACAGTAAAAGGTCCTAGATCATAATTTTCACCGACTTTCAAAACGGTTTTATGAAGTTTTTTTTTTACCTACTGAAAGTTTATTTTTCTTAAGACATTTCACCTACTGAAAAATTGGCATGTTGTTAAACAACAGTAAAATCCACTGAACACACAGTACATCTGTCCCTCACAGCCTAATTTTCATTCCTGTTGAAAATTAAGTGTAGCACTACGCTGACTGAAGTCTGTAGTCAAGAAACTACATACTGCCCAGTGAATCGCTCAGGTTATAACATAACTATCTCGGGGACTATCATAACGTTCTTTAATCTTTATCTCAGGGAACCCAGGCTTACTTTAGTAACCCGAGCGTTCCCTATCAAAACGGTCTCTAAGGTTGCGTTTATGACGCTTGGGGGAAGAATATACCATAGGGACTTAAAAAACCTAACAAAGGTTGATGACGATGACCAGCTGGCTGCCTAGCAAATATCCCCAATAGAAACTCCACTGGACCAAGTCCAGAGAGACTTCAGTCAGTGTAGTGCCATATTTAATTTTTGGCAGAAATTAAAATGAAGCTGTGAGGGATAGAAGTACTGAGTGTTCAATGGATTGTTCTGTTGTTTTACAATATACCAAGAGGCCATCCCCGAGTGGAGAGGGCCCTCACTCCAAATGGGCACTCAGAGCCCAGAATCCTGAGGGTCCGGACCGGGCAAAGTAAGTTAGCTCCCTGCTCGTTCTCAGAGGAAGGAAGGGATAACCGAGTCGGTCAGGGAACCACAACTGGTTTTGCCAGAGTGGAGCAAAAAGTAGAACTGAGCATCCGATCTCCCTGATCCATCTGAAGACCTGAGGGAGCAGAGCAACTGGAGGAAAGGTGTACAGGTGGGCCTTGCTGAGCAATGAGAGTTGTCTTCTGAAGCAAAGGGGGCATTTGTGGCCTAATGGTTAGAGAGTCGGAGTCGAAAATTGCAGGTTAGAGTCTTAGGTCCGGCAGGAATTGTCGGACCTGAGTGAATAACCAGCGCTCTCTTCCATCCTCAATACCATGACGTGTGTGTGCACTTGGATGGGTTAAATGCAGAGCACATATTCCGAGTATGGGTATATACCATATATATACACATATATACCATACTTGGCCACATGTCACTTCATTTTCACTTTCACTTTCAAAGGTCTGCCTTTGCCTTTCCATTTGGGGGTGAAGTCTCCATTCTCCTGGAAATACACTGCTCCAGGTCAGCACGTCCACTCCCTGGTTCAGTATGCTTGGCACGTGCACTGCCTTCGATGAGCCCAGATTGCACTGAGCCCATAGGAGGTGGTGTCTTGCCATCTTGTAAAGAGACCACGACCTGAGGCTACCCTTGCGATTTATGAAGGCCACCACTGTCATATTGTCAGAATGGACAAGGACATGTTGCCCTTTCAGGGCTGGCAGGAAGGTTTCGAGGGCCCGAAAAACTGCCATCATTTTGAAACAGTTGATGTGCAGGCATTGCTCCAGGCTGGACCAGGAGCTGAACCGGGCTGCCCTTGCACAGATCTCCCCAACCCAAGTTGGAAGCATTTGTCGTAACAACAATTGGACTCCTGTCTGTCAAAGGGCCTTCCAAGGGACCACAGCTGAGACACAGCGATAATCCATCTTGAGGTAAAAAAATTAATCATCAATCAATAGTCCACCTTGAGGATTTGACAGCTCCCTTTGCCAGCAGACTTTGCAGGTTTCGAGTTGGTAAAGCCTTGGAGGCTACTACTGTTTGTGTTGTGTTAGGTTTGAGATTGTTTTGAGCATTTTAAAACACTACAACAGCACAGGCACTAGGGCTGTGTATCACCAGCAAAGTCACGGTACGATACTTATCACGGTACAGAGGCCACGATACGATACATATATAGAGAAACGCGGCAAAACGGTGGTAATTCATACATAAACAGCCCCTCTCTTTCTCTCTCTCATAAATGAACACTCGATGAATTACAATTTTCTGAGAATAGAATATTGAAGTGGAGATCGCTAAACTGCAAGCCAAGCGGTGTTTTCAGAAAGCAAGCGCGTTTATCCACAGTGGAGAGAGAGCGCGTGCATGTTTGCCAGGTTGACAAAGATAAGTAGCACACTTAGCAGATATTTCCGTATTGCGCAAGTGTGAAGCTCTGTTTCGGGGATTACGTCTCTTTATACCAGGCAACCCAGTTGTGATCCTCTGCGGCCAGATTAAACCTTGTTGTAGCCTATATATGATCTATTCATTCTTTTTTAGAAACCTCGCACTTTTCTAATCCATTTTAAATGTTGTAAAATTTTAAACAAATTAAGCGCGGTCCACTGCTGCACACGTGCCACAATATCGATACAGGGCCAGCTGTATCGATGCTCGTAACGTCAAATCTCTGTGACGATACATCGTCGTATCGATATTTTGAACACAGCACTAACAGGCACCCTGTATTACACACTGCTGCTGCTCACGTTTACAGAAATATTATTGTTGCTTTTGTTTTGTTTTATTATGGAGTTAATTTTGTATTAATAAAGCTCTTCTCCTTTGAGCCTAAATGTGTTTGCGTGTGTCCCTGGTTTTGGTGGGCTGAAATGCCATAGGTTTGTGCAGCTGCACAAACTTGAACAAATCAGGCTTCAGTATTAGGAGGAAAACAGATTTTGCCCCAAGCATCAACGTGAGAAACAGTTTTGATAGGGAACTCTTATTTATATTGTGTCCACGCTATCTTTGTTATAATGAGAGGATATGCGAGTGTGTAGAATGCAGTCAGTAAACTTGTGGCAAGATATTGAGCTCATTCTAACTAAACTACAGTAAATATTTCTGATTAGTCATTGCTTTCAACATGCCTGTAATTAGATAAAAAACTCAACACTGCAAAAACACAAAAACCAGAGCGTGCACATAAATACCATCCTCCCACCTACAAATCACACAACTGACCTACTTTGAATTCAAAACTTAAGTTCTATGAGTATGTCAAATAATGTTTTCAAATATACAAAATGAATTTTGTGTAAAATATGTTTGGTTGTTTAGAGATCGAACGATATATCGATTTACCAATATTTTTTCCCAATATTTTTCGGATATCGGTTTTGTCATATCGCATTTACTGATAAACACCGCCATCTTGTGGGTGTTTTAAGAATTGCGCGCAGGATCACCATTGCAGTGCGTCTGAGGGGAGAGGAGTCAATGGCGTGCACTGGTAAAGTATATTACTTGCTTTGCTGTAATTTATGCAGCTTGGCTCTAAGAAATAGAGACGAACTCAGGGAGTCACGTAAGATAATCCGTCAAGTCCTGTCCCAATAAAGACGTAACTTTGCCTGAATTAATTATATACAGTCAATAATGAGTGCATGTTGGAAATAAAAGCACTGAATTTAATTCTCTCTCTCTTGTCTATATGCTCATTAGTCTCGTGAAGTCACTTTCATATTGCTCTTCACTCATCGGGCTGATGCTCAGGAAATGCTCCAGCACGGACACTGCATGTAACTTTTAACAAGATTCACTTGTTTAAAACACGGTAATTATATAAACATTTACTATATAACCAGTGTTGGGGAAAGTTACTTTTAAAAGTAATGCATTACAATATTGCATTACTCCCTAAAAAAAGTAACTAATTACGTTACTTAGTTACTTTTTATGGAAAGTAATGCGGTATATTACTTTTACGTTACTTTCGCGTTACTTTTTAAATATAAGCAGGGCTTGATCCCGATTTCTCCCAATATGGGGACAGGAGAGCTGTCAGTCAATAAATGGGAAAACAAAGTAACTGGCATTACTTTTTTGAAAAGTAAAGTAAAATTTGATATTTTCTTGTAAATTAAAAAAGTAATGCGTTACTTTACTAGTTACTTGAAAAAAGTAATCTGATTACGTAACTCGCATTACTTGTAATGAGTTACCCCCAACACTGTATATAACCATTATTTCACTAATAAACATCTAAATAAATACAACTCTATGGAAATTAATTATTTATTATCACCGTGAGCGATCGTAGTTTGAGTATAGTTCTGTGTAAATGCATTGACAAACAGAGCTTTGTCAGCAGGCATTTCATAATCTAGAACGACAAAAACATTATTAATAATTCAGTTGAGAAATGCAATAAAATACGATGTTTTGTTTGTTATATTCCAGAGAATATTATTCAATTAATTAACATTATCCAGCGAATTATTCTTCACTCTTTAGCTTATTAAACTGCTTATAAACCTACTAAAACTAGTTTAAAATAAAGTATTATATTTCTGCAAAGTTGATGACTCCTGTCTTGAATTTATTTTTTCCATTTGAAAATATTAGACATTCTACATATATTTTGAAATGTTTTGAATATTGTTAATATTAGTGTTGCTGCTGATGCTTTTTATAAATAAAATGTTTTCATTGTTGTAATATGAAGACTAAATTTAACATGAAAGACTGCTAATTTTCAACACTTTTTTTAAAAGATGACTGAAAGGAGAAAACAAAAAACAAAGTGAAGTATGGACGTACTTCACTCAGTCATTGCCAGGACTGGCAGTTTGCAAAGAATGACAAATGGGGTCAAAATCTAAAACAACAAAAAATACCTCAAAGTCACATTCAAGCTTCTCTTCCTATGATGTTTGATAAGCAGACAAAGTGGAAGACTCAAAAAAAACAAAAAACTAGACAGGATGATTACAGACATGATTGCTACAAACAACTGGCCTTTCAACTTTGTTGCAAATAAAGGCTTCCAGAGACTCATGGCTACTGCAGAACCAAGATATACTCTAAAGAGTGAGAAGTTCTACCGAACAGAGGTGTTCTCCAGTATTCACAGTAGTATCATTGAGCATGTTAAAGCACTGCTAAAACCTGATAAAGCAGGTTATAACTTGGCTTTTACCACAGACTGCTGGTCTGGTACAACTGAATCCCAAGTGAGTATCACATGCCATTTCATTGATGACCAGTGGATTCGCAGACAAGTAATTCTAAACACAAAAGCAATGATTAGATCACACACTGGGGAGTACATTAGTGAATGTTCTTTGGAATGCTGGAAGAATGGGAAATTGACAAAGACAGAGTGGTTCTTGTTCACAGGACAGTGGTGCTAACATTGTTAAAGGTATGAGAATTGATGAACTGCCTGACATGAGCGACAGTGCCCACGTATTACAGCTTGTTGTCAACGATGGCCTCAACTCACAAAGAGCTGTCCATAATATTGTGTCAGTGCTGAGAAGCTGTGCTACACATTTCAATCATTCATTACCAGCCAAACAGCGTTTAGCAGTGAGCCAGCAGGACCTTGGGATACCTGCACATTCCATCATTCAGGCTGTGCCAACCTGATGGAATTCCACCTTGCACATGCAAAAAGGGCTTTGAACATATATGCTAGTGAGCATGGTGGGTTCACTAGCCTGACTGCTGAGCAGTGGAATGTTGTCAGTAATCTTATTAACACCCTTTCTCCAGTGGAAGAGGTCACTCTTGAGATGAGCCACTACGAATTTCAGCATCATGCATCATCCAATCTGTCAAAGTTCTGAAGATGTTGCTCAGCAGCCAAGAGTCCCTCCTCTCATGGGATTAAAACAATGAGACAGGAGATGCTGGAGAGTCTCACCAGACGGTTTGGAAAAGTGGATTGCTCAGCAGCCAAGGTCCCTCCTCTCATGGGATTAAAACAATGAGACAGGAGATGCTGGAGAGTCTCACCAGACGGTTTGGAAAAGTGGAGGTGAAATGTGCAGTCCTTGCCTGTCTTCTTTTTTTTGCACTTTCAGACCCCTCTATTTTTGGTATATAAATAAGATTTGTTTTGTTTTCTATGCAAGGAGGGAGTATAAAATGGTTTGTTCAGTTCAGTGGTGTTGTAATCACTGTGTCAAAAACAGAAGTATAACAGCACAAATATATCGGTTCCGCATATTGGTTATCAGGCACATAAACACGCAAATAACTGGTATCGGTTATAAAAAAAAATCAATATTGGTCGATCACTAGTCTTTTTCGCTATATTCCAAGTCATACAGTATAATGACTGATTATCATTGAATAACACCATAAAAAACAAAGAAACACACAATGTTAAATAACTAATGACTGATTTAAATTTTTTGGTGAATTGATCCTTTAAAGTCCACATGAAATGAAAATTCACTTGATTTTCTAAATTCATATTACTTGCATTTAATTTTTTTATTTTGACCTTGCAAACGCATTTTAAAAATGTCATAACTGGATCTTCTTGTGAAATTACTTCTATCTGGTGACATATGCAGGACTTCTCCAATAGTCTGCTCCTGCAAGCTTGCATTTATCGGACTTTACTTTTAAGTTCAATGCTCACATCTCAAAATCCAATCAACAACGTAAAATGTAACGCGTTAAAATCTTCCAATAAAAAAGTCTCAGCCGTTTTCTCCAATAACCTGATGCACTCAGATGTATGACACAATATGGACAGATCTGTATAATAATAATAATAACAATAAGTACAGATCTGAAGGGTGGCTTTATAGAGGGGAAACAATACCTTCTTTAGCAGCAAAAGCCTGACTGTCATTGATAACTTTCTGGAACTCAGGGTTGTAGCGGGTTCCCTCTGGAAAGATGACAAGATACATCTGTACAGAAAACAAACAGTTGAAGAGTCATAAAACTGCAGCACTTACTAATGTTAGTAAATTATAAGTCTACCACAGTCCTGGGACAGTGATAGATTCTAAGGTAGGCATTTCTCAGTTCTGTCATGGAGTGACAATACAAAACTTTGGAATATCAAATATGAGGAGCGACACAGAATCCTATTATCCCCCTTGCTGATGAAAGAGAAAGGGCTTAAACTCCAACCCACAGAATGATAGGAACATTACAGCTGGATAGTTCAAATAGTGTCATGGGAAAACGTCTTTTAGCCCAAAAAATGACATACATGCACAGAGATAAGCAGAGAGCACTTTTTTTTAACATCTGGAAAATGTATAATGTCTGGAAAAATAACCTTTTTTTTTTTTTTAACCAAAATTATATAATAAAAATATTTAAACTCAATAAATACGCTACAGTTCATTTAAATTTATAAAGTATTTTTTTCCCTGTAACTATGTGGCTCCATTCTGGTATTGTATGTAACACCCACTGTGGTAATGCAATTTTTTCTCATCACTACTTTCAGTGCTTGGGCACTAATAATCTTAAGGAAAACAATAGGGTTCCTTCACATTTTCCATTTCAAAATTACAAACATTTCTAGACTAAAATTTTCAGACTTCTCTGTAGATTTGTCAGACCATATTTCATAGTGAAAAACAAATTAAGCATAACAATTACAGGTTCAAATTTACAAAAACAGACCTGCCAACCTTGGAAATTTTTTTTTGAGTACCATCAGCATGACCGGTGGTGGGGGTTCCTAGATAGATACATTATTATCTGAAGTTCCTTGATGGCTAATGTCAAAATCGTAATTGTACAATGTGCAAAGTTCAATATTTAATGTTAAATATTTTTTATAGGTTAATACTCAGGGTCTGTACTCAGTTTGTGATATTCCAGTTATACAGTACTTTAGCATAAACACAGTTCAATAAATACCACGTTTTTCGGTTTGGTTCTGATGGTTTGGAACATCAGGATTCTTTTTTTGCGGTTTAAAATACTATAAAAAAAACAAACAAACAAACAAAAAAACCTCCAGTACACTTCTGTACACTGTAGAAAAACATGGATTATCATGTGTTTACTTCAAATTTCATTAGAGAGAAGTATTATTTTTACAGATTGGCCATTATTATGCGCTATAAACACATGTAATGTCTGTTTCATTCATACTGGATGCCTGAGGGCGCCCTCATGCAGAAACGCATGATGCTCCAGGAAATCCCTAATATGGACAAAAGCATCCTATCACTGTAACTGAATAAAAGAACATTTGAATGATGACATTCAAAAAGAACATTAAAACAATAAATACTTTACTGCGACAATGTATAGTTTATCTGGTTCTTAAAACCATCTCAGGATTTTCATCATAATCAAGTATATTTATAATCCACTGCTAATCAACATAGCCTGTATTACAGCAGAGAATATATATTTCTGCATCATTCTGAGATAAGAAGCCACATCACTTCATAAAAGGAAGTTATTTCAAACATTTGTCTGATGTTGTAGAGTAAAAGCATGTTATAATGTTCTCTTTTGTTTGACAACAGGTTTAGAAATGCTTCGCATTACAAGTCATTACAAGGGAAGATGCTTTTTCAGATGCATGTTATAAGCGGGGACTGGGGAGGCATGTCCTCATCTCAGTCCACAAACTCACGGACACACAAACAGCCAGTTTGGAGAGAAATAAAATGCACTGAAATTATTTAAACACAAAACCGAAAGAAAAAACAAAACAAACACTGATTGTTTGAACTCATCTTTTTCTGTTGCTTGTTTTGAGTTCTGCGCGTGGACAGACGCATCGTCAGGTTTTTGCATAGTTTAGAGTGATAAATCGTACCAGCATTCTTTGAGGTCAAAATGTGTACTTGCTACGCAAAATGCGTACAGATTGGCAGGTCTGCAAAAATGAATTCACAATTTGAAATTAGCACAATACTACAAATGTACCAGTAAACCAATAAAAATTCACTTGGTACCATAGCAAAAACTACTGGAACTATTTAATTATTTGAAAAAAAAACAAAACAAAAAAAAAGAGAACAAACAAACAAGTTTAGTTTGTTTTCCTACTACTAATAAAAAAACAACAAAAAAAAAACATTAAACAGCATGTAGCCTTCAAATTTGTTTAAATTAAATAAACATTGCTTTAAAAAGGTCAAATGAAAAGTTAGTAATAAAATGAACAACAACAAAAAACAAACAAACATTATATTCAACAAGTGGCAAGTCTATTAGTCGGCACTCCAAGATCTATTTTGACATATGACAAATTTTTTTGTCCCATCTATTTCTATGGTTATCACTGTAACAACCATCACAATTTCAGATTCAGTTCCGAATTTAAATATTTCGCACTATTGCGAAAATTCTTGTTATAATCAGTGAAGATCAGTGCACAATTAATTTATTTACAACATCTTTACATTTTTTTTTTGGTTATAATGAAAACATTCATGACCATACAGAGCTTTAAAGCATGCTGAATAAAACTCCTGCATTTCAAGTGGTATCTCACTAACTTAAACACATCTGACTGGTTATTTTGTTCACATGCTCAACAGACATGTCTGTGATTGGCTACAATTCTCAATGCTGCAAACACTTTACAAATATAAACCTTTGATCCTCTTCACAGAGCACTTACTCAAATATGCACAGGCAGCAGCTGTCCCTGCATAATGGGTGGTATCGTTACCCATTTAAAATATAATTAATAAAAAATTATTATAAAAATATAATAATTATTTTTTTTATTCTTTCCCCTCGAGCGTTTAAAGGGGTCATGTGATGCTGCTAAAAAGAACATTATTTTGTGTATTTGGTGTAATGAAATGTGTTTATGCGGTTTAAAGTAAAAAAAAAGACTTTAGTCTTTGCAACTTTACAGATCTTCTTTATGCACCAAGAGCTTGTAACACTCCAAAGAGAAAGGAAAAAATGAAATCGCATCATATGACCCCTTTAAAAATAAAAAACTGCCAGCCACCACTAGCCTTTTTGATAATTTTCATGGCCCCCCAGAATATTTTGTTGTATGGATATCTGAACATGCAATACATTGAAATAAAGAACAGAGCCTTTACTTAAAAATAAAATAAAATAAACAAAAATAAATAACAAAATTTGTTTTATTCTAGCTTCAAGCATTCTTTATTTTAATCAACACTTGAATGTAGGTAAGTTTCATTAAAAAAAAAAAGCAACATTTGAGCAAAAAACTGAGAAAATCATGTTTTTATCAAATACTACTTCTGGTTCCTGTCTGCCACTCTGCTGAGTGGTTTGCGATTGTAGCTCCGTGCAGCTTCGCTTTTCTGTTGAATCTCTATCTATCACTCTCTGTTGTTTAAAGTGATAAAATATAACTTAATTCCCACCATATTTCTGATATTATCCATCAAACTAATCTGACTAATTTGATCGTTTGCTTTTAATCTAAAACCACTAGTGCAGCGCGTTAGCATTCCGTTAGCCGGTTAGCTTGCCATTCGCATTTCTATTCTACAGTCATGGCGTCTACAGTCATGGCCAAAAGTTTTGGCAGTGACAAATTTTGTGTTTTGCAAAGTTTGCTGCTTCAGTATTTGTAGATTATTTTTCCACATGTTTCTATAGTATACTGAAAAACAATAGTAAGCATATAAGTTGAGGCTTTTATTGGCAAAAAAATATAATGAGTCAATATTTACAGTGTTGACCCTTGTTCATAACCTCTACAATTCGCTCTGGCATGCTGGATATTAGCTTCTGGGCCAAATCCTGACTTATGGTGATCCATTCATGCCTTATTAGTTCTCGGAGTTGTGGGCTTCTGCTTGTCCACTCGCCTTTTGAGGACTGACCACAGGTTCTCTGTGGGATTGAGATCCGGGGAGATGCCTGGCCACGGATCCAAAATGTCAATGTAATGATCTTCGAGCCACTTCTTTATCACTCTTGCTTTGTGACATGGTGCTCCATCATGCTGGAAAATGCACGGATCATCACCAAATTGCTCATGGATCATTGAAAGAAGTCGCTCTTGCAGGACGTTTTGATACCATTCTTTATTCATGGCAGTGTTTTTGGGCAGAATTATGAGAGAGCCCACTCCCTTGGTTGAAAAGCAACCCCACACATGGATGGTCTCAGGATGCTTCACTGTTGGCACAACACAGGACTCATGGTAGCGTTCACCTTTTCTTCTCCGAACAATCGATTTTCCAGATGTCCCAAACAGTCAGAAGGGAGCTTCATCCGAGAAAATAACTTTGGACCAGTCTTTTGCTGTCCAATCCTTGTACTTCCTGCAGAATTTCAGTCTGTCCTTGACGTTTTTCTTGGAGAGAAGTGGCTTCTTTGCTGCCCTTCTTGACATCAGGCCGTTGTCCAAAAGTCTTGGCCTGCGCGTGCAGATGCTCTCACATCAACCTACTGCCATTCCTGAGCAAGCTCTGCACTGCTGGTGACACGATTTCGTAGCTGACTCCTCAGGAGGAGACGGTCCTGGCGCTTGCTGGACACTCTGGGACGTCCTGAAGACTTCTTCACTGCAGTCGAACCTCTCTCCTCGAAGTTCATGATGATCCAGTAAATGGTTCTTTAAGGGTCAATATTCTTTGAAGCAATTTCCTTGCATGTGAGGCCATTTTGATGCAAAGCGATGATGGCTGCACGTGTTTCTTTGGAGGTAAACATTGCTAACAAGAACACAATAATTGGAAGCACTTCTTCTCTCCTTTTATAGCAATCAGTCTGCTCTTACAATCTAATTAGTATGATAGTGATTTTACCTGACTAGTATTCATTCACACTTTCACATGTGCTGCTGATATGATTAGTCAATTAATGTTAGCTGGTCATTTTGTGTCTGGATCAAAACTTTTTTTTTTGTGAAAAGTTCATTTTTTTGGCCAATGAAGCTTTTAGCAATTATTTAAAATGCATCTGATCACTCTTTACAATAATC